TTCCCGGGACGGGGCGGCCCCGGCGCTCCCCGGGGGCTACCGGTGTCCTCCGCCGCTCCTCCCGTGCCGGCTGTGCTTCCCCGGGAGCAGGCTTTCAAGAGCTGCCTACCTTGAGTCCCAAGTTATTCCAGCCCCCCTAAAGTTGCCAGACTCCTGAGATACCTGATGCGTCATCTCACGCTGCCGCTGTAAGTAGAGACGAAGCGCACGTATCCAGGCTGCAAAAGCCCTTCGTAGAACGCGTGGCAGCGGGGGCCGGGCAGCTACAAACTCGTCCCGGAGGGCAGAAACCGCGTGTTGGATGCGGCTCGAGAAACACGCGGGAGGTGCCCCCGGCAGGGGCGTCGCTTACCTGGCCTCTGCCCGCCGGCGGGGAGGAGGCTCGCCAGCAGATCAAACACGATACAAAGGAGCAGTTGGAGTCTCATGTCTGCGGTCAGCGTAGAGGCGCGCTCTGAGGGTGCGTGTAGGCGAAGAAACGCATAGAACACCGGCCCGCGTGGCTGTAAGAGACCGGCAGCCCCCCCTGCCTGGCTCACATGCCGGTGGCAAGCTGGGGAGCCAGCCGCCAGCGGCGTTTTCCAGCAAGGTCAACGATCAGGCAGGGGCAAGGTTCCTGGTTTGCACTGCGGTCAGTGCCTCCCTCTTCCCTTCTCCCTTTCCTTTTTTTTTTTTTTTTTTTTGTCACTCCCCCTTATTTTCCATAAGCAAACAATGCAGGAAAGAAAAGTCCGTGTAAGCAGTAGCTTCTGTCAATGCGTTAGGCGCAAGGAGCCTCCTGAACAATGCAGCGCCTTCGCTTTAAATTCAACCCAGGCAGGAAAAAATATGTAAAACAAGCCGCGATGTTCCCTCCCCCATTTGCAACTGTTTAAACTTTGCATTGCCCATATTGGTCCCACATGCAGAAAGCGATGGCAGTGGCAGGAAGTCCTTCCTCCCCCCCCTTTGTCCCTCCTGAAAGCGAGGGCTGTGAAGTCCCCCCGAGCCCGGCCCTCCTCGCAGCTCAAATGCTTTCTCTCCTCTCTAAACTAGCTGCGAAGTTGTGGCTATTCAGAGTGAAACTGGTAGCAGTTAAGGCTAATGGGTGTCTTTTGTACCGTCAAGTATTTTTAAAGGATCAGAATATTCTGGAATTAATTGCGAGATTTTTTTTTTTTTTTTTTTTTGCCATGTCGGGTAAAGCAGAAGTATTACGCGATGTAGCTGTTACAGCAGTGCTATTTTGGGGAAAGCAGCTTTGGATAGGACGTTACGTTTGCATAGCCCACCTGTAGGTTGCATTGTATTTTTACTGGATTATGGCGAGAGCTCGCTTTACCAAACTATGCTGAAAACAGCTGGTGTGATAAAAGTGCAGATATGCAAGCCTGAGGAGAAGAAAGACAAACCCTGCGAAATGTGTTAGCAGCGGTGATGGCTTTGAAATCCAGCGAATTAACTGGCATCAGTTAAAATTCGGCTGGTCCTTTTCTTGTTTTCAGCCTGCTGATTTCTTGGGATGGAATGGCACCTAGTGATTTGGAAAATGAAAATTTGTCCGTTTTTGGAGAAAGTTTATGTTTTAAAATAGCAGGATGGAGTACATTTCTGCATAGATGAAATACTACTCTTATTAATAGATAAGTATTATCGAAAGTTGTCTGAAGTGGTTCTTTGCCTGATTCCCTAAAGAGTGGAATATAAGGTTGTTTTTATTCAATTGCCCCTGTATTTTTTCCCCTTGTGGGTTTTCCCATGTTCTTTAAAAGCCTGTTGAAGTCCATAGTGCATGCTAGTCCCTCCTCATAGAGTTATACATCATTACCGGGTTACTTGATTTGTCTAGGCAAGGTGTGTCTGTATGAATTAAAAGACAACTTGCAGCTGGAATACATGGTGGGAATAATGGTTAATGTTATTATAAAATGATGTCAAGACTGCTGAGGAAGATGTCTCAGACAAAGCAGTAACAAAGGAAATCCTCTGCTGATTGATCACATTGATCTGTCGTAAGCAGCACGCGCTTCCCAGTGTTCATCTGTTCAGGTTGGTGGTCATTATGTTTCCTCTGTAGGATCCGTGGCCTTTAAGCTAGACTTCTGTTCAATATTGATGCCGCTAGCTGAGCCCAAATCTGGGTCCCGTGGTGCCAGTGGCAGAATTGTCCTAAAGAGTGTACCGTTTCAAACAGAAAGGTGGTGGAGAAGTGGTACGGCCAGCTCACACAGCGAGTTTGTGACAGGATCAGGGTTACATCCTCAATATCCTAAATCTCACTCCGGCGCCGTCTCCGCAGGGACGCCTTTAGGGATGCATTCACTTGTTCACCATGAATGAGAACACACTGGCCACCTCGTTCATACAGCCCTGTAAATGATGATGACTTTCATTCAGCGGCGAGCTATATAAGGTTCGGACTCATAACCTTAAGGTGGAAAGTAGTACAGACTTCAAAGTGATAGGGACTCTGTAAATAGCTAAAAGGGCAGGAAGAATGCACAGACCATTGCCAGTCCCTCGGGCTATCTAGGCCTTTTCTGCACCTGTATTTGGGGAAGCTTACAGGCATTCTGAGGAGATGTTACATTTTCAGGGAATTGAGTAAGATACAATATGTAAGCGCAATTGTTTTTTTTTAACTTTAGCTTACTTTGAGGTATTTAATCCATGCTTACTCTGTGCAAAAGTCTACAAAGGTTTATATGAATCCAAGTCACTAGGAGTATCACAGATTTCTTGTAATCTTCGTGTAAGCTAGGGTAATATTTTGATGCTTACCTACTGAAGAAATTTCTAAAATGTATTACTACAGTCCCACTCTAGAATTTATAGTTCTTTTACAAGCAGATTTCCTTCAGGTACTTACTTTCATATGGCATACCACCACTACTTGAAATTGGGCAAAGAACAACTGGACAAAATGTAATGATGTAATGTTTCTGCTTTTTTCGTGGTTTGCTGTTTGGTTTGTTTTTTTTGGTTTGTTTTTTGTTTTAATTGGCTTTAGAGGAAAGGGAATGTAAAGTACATAGGAAAGCTGGAGGTCTGTAGATAATGCATTATGAGCTAGTTATAACTAATGCAGTTATTTGAATCAAAAGCGTCCCTTCTCTTTTATAATCCGAAAGGAACACGATAAAAGGATGATGGTTTCAGCATTTATTACCTATGTCATTGCTATTTTTCCAGCAGGTACTCTGTTCCCTACCTCCCCCTTGATAGGATCAAAATAGTCAAATTATCAGTTTACTTCCAGAAAGTGAAAAACGCAGTTAGCACGTAGCAGAAATAATTTCAAAAGTTACAACAAGGAAAATTTAGAACTGCCTTTCCTGGATATCAAAGATTAGCTGTAAGCGGCATACATGGCATTGTCTTTTGCTCGACACGTTTTGGTAAGTCATATTCAGTACTGTATCACTTCACAGGATATAAATTGTTCTGCATGACATTTTCAGTACAGTGTGTCTGTTACAGCCTATTTATTGGGGAAAAATAATTTGAAATCGTTGTGACAGTTTTAAGAATAGGATTGGGAGAAACAACGGAAAAGTGACTGAGGGAATATCAAATTATTTTGTCACACAGAAAAATAGAAAATCTTTTGATAATTTAAATGAGAGAGCAAGTGATGTTACATTTTTAAGCCAAATTTTGCAGGGAGATGGAAGGACTGAGTGTAGATGCTTTTTTACAGAAAGATGCCTTTTTCTGAGAATAGATGTTGTGTATGACAGGAGTTATACTGAGAGAGGATCAGAAGCACAAAAGATAAAATAATAGGTAGGAGCAGGAAAATTAATAGTAATAAGAAGTAGAATAGGCAGAGTTGGATGATAACGACCGGGGAGAAAGATAATTGGGCACTTCCTAGTAAGGAGTAAGGGATTAATTAGCATTCCCTATTGGACTGCTAGTCAGAATTTGAATCCTACCTTTCCTTTCAAGGCCAGCACGTAACTATAAAGTCTAGTGAAAAACAGTGCTGCTTGTCACTAATCTTTGCGAACAGTTTTTGAATGCTATCAATATCAAATGATAAATAGAGCTTCTCAAGTACAGGAATTAATTGTTATATGTGGTATTACTAGTTTCAACCTCTGTATCTTGGATACCCCCTTGGATAATATCTCTTCCCCTCCTAGAGATCCATACAAATACATTGATTCTACTGTGCTATGAGAAGACATGCTGAATGCTCAGCAGAGTGGTGGTAACTATAAAAATTCTTGTTTATTTTGGCTTAGAAGTGTCAGATAAGGTTTAATATCAGAATTTCTAATCAGATTTTCTAACTTTGTGTTCCCCAAATTCATCCGTCCTGCTGATCCGGAGGAATTATTTCACTAACCAGACAAGATCAGGGATAAAAATGTTTACTTCAAAAGAATTTGGTGAAGCAAATAATCAAGTCCAATGGCAAATGCCATTAGGAAAGGTTCTAGGCTTTTCCTAGTTTCTTTCTATCGCATTGCAAGACAGCATATGAGCTGTACAACGAATGAAAGAAAAAGTGCAAAAAAAATTATGTGAGTCGCTGCTTGAGGGGAAAAAGTTGGCAAAGAAATGCTCAACGGGATAAATTTTGAAATGTTGTTTAGATGTCTGTGATGTGTTTTTTTCACCACAAATTTCATTGGGATTATTATCTTGTGGTTTTATTGGGTCTATGCGCCAGCCACGAATATAAAGGATGGTTTTTCTTCAGCCCAGAGTACAGCATCAGAAGCCAAATACAATGTTTGCCTTCTTCATTGACTAGAATTGTGAAGACTACTTTTTCTAGACAAAACTCGTTACCTCGAAAATTATGGTTTCATGAGAAAATGATGGACTTTGTCATGATTTTAAGCTGTGCTTGGAAATGAAAACCTACTGAGAAACTAAAACCCATTCCTCCTCTTTTGCGTTTTATGCTTTTTCTCAAGAAAAAGCCTGTTTGTCCTCAGCTGCCTTTCCTGCCTGGGGGGTGACAGTGCTCCGGAAGAAAATGGTGGTCATCAGGCAGAAGGAATGCACACCAGTAACCTGACACTGGAGACAGATGTGCTCAAGGAAAGGAAATGGGCGACAGCTCAGGCTAGGCTAAACCTTATATAATTTTGACTTTTTTTTCGCGTTTGAGAGGTTTTCCACGTGTGTTAGAGATGCACAACTGAGAAAGTACATTTTCTTTAATTTTAAACTGGGAAGAAAGTTTGCTGCATCCATGGCAGCATCTCCAGGGTCTTACTGCAGTACAGGTCATAATTATAATTTATTAAAATAATAATAAAAAGGAAAAACATTCTCTGGTAGACTTCAGTCTGTCTTACTTCTGTAACCCTACAATCTGTAGGGTTGATTTCATTCAATACAATGAAAGTAATGCCAGCCATGCACCTGAATAATCATAAAGTCCCTCCTAGACAAATGATGATTTCATCAGTTACCTACAGAACTGTAT